ATCAACTTTCACAATTTACTCTACTTAAATGTAATTCCCAACGCGTTCACTTTACGACTTAACTGATGTTAACGCCAACGAGCTCACTTTGTAACTAACTTGACTTGCAGCTGAGTGTCGCCTTAGTAGAAGCATCGAATTGTTGTGCTATGGAAGGTTCTTGTTTTATCGTTTCTAGAATGTACTAGTTATCGGCTTCTCTCTTTCATCTGACATTCGCCTCGCATTTTCGCAACACTATTGTAACAACGACTGCAGGACTGCAACGGAGCCAAGGCGAATTTAACAAGGTGGACTTACTAAGGGAGCGAATTTAACCTTTTTCATTTAATTAATTCGCTACCTTTACAACAGTCGAAATTTTTGTTTATGTTTTGTATGTTTGTTTACATTTTGATTTTTTGATATTTTTAGTTTGATTTTCTAATTGAATAGCAGAAAATTTTCAAATAAGATTTGTGACTTTTTCCAAATAAAAGAACGTGTTCTGATTTTGATTTGAGTTAAATTATTGCGGCTATTAATCGCCAACGCACTATGAGGCTTTTATCTTCACTTTATAAATGCTCATGTAGTATTATAAAAGCAACGATATTGCTAGTTTTCGCTGATGCTAGCTCAGCGTGACAGCCAAAAAAGTGTTAGAGTTCTATAGAATCTTAGCTTATTTTTCCATTAAGCCATAGCTGTCTGGTCACGTTACACGTGATCTCATTCTGCCATTTATGGTTTTTGCATTTTTAACAAAGGCAAGTCTTTGCCATGACAAAGGTAAACCTACATTTTGCACCTTCTTTATTTCGAATAGAAGAGCTCCTTCTCTCACTAGTTCGTCTGCCGTGCAATTGCTTGGAGTGTCCGGGCACCCAAACTATAGAAGTGTTGCATTTAACCGAGAGTTTTCCTAGATTGCTTCTACATTTTATAGCCACTTTAGATGTGGTACGATTAAACTGCAGAGATATGATGGCAGCTTCACTATCGGAATCTATAGCAACTGATATTCTTGCTATCGCATTGGGATTCTTGTCGAAGTAACCCGTTTGTATGTACAAAGAAAGGGGAGTTCGATTATAAGTTCCGCAAAATGAAGGATCTACATCTATCTGGATTCGTGCATGCCCAAAAAATTAGAAAAGGGGTTTAGCATGCGTATACCACTTTTTAAAAAGAAAAATTTATACTGTGATTAAATTAAAATATCCTTCCAATTTTAGCATTGAATAAATAATAATTATAATCAATTATATAATGTACAAATTTAAAGGTGTGCTGTGATTTCTAGTAATATATTACCATAGCAATTATAGAACTTTCTCCTATGCATATTTCGTGTAATGTGACTGAGTCTTATAGCCCTTACCAAAGAAGTATATGTATATATTAATAGGCGTTCTTTGCCATGGCTCACATGTTATTCAAGAATTCCCTAACATCCTATAAAATAAAAGTACTTTACTGTTAATGTGTTTTGAATAGGCAAACTTTGATTTTTAAGCTAAGCTTTTCTGACCTGTTTTGAATTACTAATTCAATTTGACAAAAGCGAATTGTATGAATTTGTCATGAATGAGACAATTGTTGTTTTTGTTCTCCTGCTCTCACCTTTATGAATTCGCCTTGAACGGAGCGGTTAGTGAATATATTTCTTTTAATAAATACTTCAATATATTCATTTTTTAATAAAATTAAAATATCTGAAGTCGAATTTAAAATTAACCTAAAAAAATTTCGAACATGTTGAAAACAACAACAGTAACCAACTGTATGTACTGCTTGGAGTAATTTTTGGATTAACTTCAAAACTAGTTCATGTATGTACTAAATTATTAATTATTCGGATGTTATGTGCATATGTACATATATACACCCTGTATATGGTCCAGCCCTAGGACATCGCAAAGCTAATTGCATCATATTTTTTGTATGGATTGGATTTGGAATTACTATATATGTACATACATACATACATACATATGTACATGCATGATAACGACTATGTATACACAAAAAAAATAGTAGGGCTGCAAACAGGTAAGATATAAAATTTGCTCGCTTACTCCACAATCTTCTCCTTTCACCATGTCCAGAACATGGCTCTGCATGTTTTTTGTGCCATAAATTATATGGTGATGCATGCATACCACATACATATGTGTGTATGTATGTTGACGTTCATCCTTTTGTTTGTTGTCATTTGCATGTACATGGAAGAATATTCAAACATACATGACAGCTTCTACATACATGAAACGTGAAGGTCTGCGAAATAAAGGCATGAATTCATGTATGTACATACATATGTATCTATTTTTTCTAAGCGGTTCTATCATGTATGTGTAAAAACTGAAGCAATGGTGCATTTTCATGTATGTACTTACTCGCAACTAACCTCATATTCCGGACAAAATGAACTTAATTTCTAAGCATTTTCAATCAAACTTAATATAAATAGAAAGTCAGTTACATTATACAATGTCAATTCAAGTATCGAGTTTGTATTATAAACCGACTTTGGCGGATTAACATAAAAGTTATTAATTTGTTTTCTTTGGTACTCCCATGTATGTATGTACATTCTGAGGCAAACAGATGGACGAAAATAAACGTCCCTGAAATATTTTTTTTTCGCATTTAAAATAAAGCTAAATATGTACATACATATAATAAATGCTTATCGTTGTTGGTGGACATAAACTTCTACTAAAAAGTGAATTCTCCTCATTTATAGAGGAAATCAACTTGCAAGCACTTCATTTATAGCAATAAACATTTTTGTAACTAATTACCTGAAGAATATGAAAAGAGCAATAAATGAAAGAAATGAAAAAGGACTGAATTCGGGCGGATGTGGGTCCACCGCGTCATCAGGTTTAAACGATTTATTGCAAATTAAAGAAAATTTAGTAGGATTTCAGAAGTTACACCTAATCTTTTTATGAAATCAGAATTCGGGTTGTGTAAAAAATCCTATAAGAATTGGTTTTTAACACGATTAAATCAATTACACGATTTTATTTTAAATTGTTTTATTGTACCTCATTACAAACAATTGTTTTTCTATGATTTTAAACTAGTGAATTTTGTCCGGCAAAATAACTACATTTGTTAACGAAATATAGCGAATACTCATATTTTTCAATAAAAGTAAATCATAGAAAAATTACTTTAGGTTGCATGGATTGAATTTTTGAGTTCTAGTCTATTTAAAGATTTATATTCGTATTCAATTGAAACAGTAAATCAAATTTCATAGTTTTATATAATAGAATGAATTTCATTTTTGCTTAAAATCTGTTCTTATTTATTTAATGTACAGATACGGATATATAAATAGGTTTCAAGTGGAAATTATTGTTCATTCATTCGCTACTTAGCTTTTTATTCTTCCTTTTTATGCACAAATTATATTTTAGAATTTAATAGTCTAAGATATACAAAACTATCTTATAAAGCACATATATGAACGATGAAAATATAATTAAGAAGCTAAGCAATTAATGTGTAGAAATATCATCATTCACTTAATTAATGCATATGTATAGATATCGTATAATTGGCGAATCGGCAATTGAAAACCGAGACATAACAAAACGCTAATATAGAGTTTAATGTATCCATCTTAATGTGAGTAACAAATTGATTTATTCAAATTTACGGAATTTAGCCTGATTTCCACTACGTATGCTTTGTCCGAGTCCCGCCACAGTGGACGTTGTCGTTAAGGTCTCGCTATTATTGCTATTAACTGTTGCGCTCACTAGTTGCATTCGTCTTTTAACAACAATTTTTCGCCCCTGCGTTGGCACTAATGCTGTTGTTGTCACAGGCTTTGTCGTTGGCACTTTAACACTAACAAGTTCCTCTGTGTGTGTACTACTTCCAGTGCCGTCCATGTCATTAGCTGAGCCTTCTGCACTTGTGCTTGCAGTATTATCTTCATCCTAATGAATAAAAAATTGCAATGATTGTAATAATAGTTTATCTTATATAAGTTATAATCATATACCTCTTCTGCGACGTCATCACCAGTTTCTTCTTCTTCAAATTCAATGTTAAAGCCTTCGGCTGGCTCGACAAGTTGCCCATTTTGTGTGGGCAACGGAATTTCAGGCAAAATAACTTGGTGATTAGGACCATTGCGGTCGTTCATTAATTGTTGCAATAACTGTGAAATATCCTCGCGCTTTCGCGTTACTGTTATAGTATCAAACCAGTTACTTAACTGTTTGATTGGCAGTCTGTAATCTCTAATTGGATCCTTGAAGAAATGCTCCACGTATTGTAATAAATACAGACCACAATCAGTGAAATTATTCTGCTGTGGAACTTTCACACAATGACCCGGCATATTATCTTTGTTGAATACGTGTGGAGTGACATCTGGCATTTTAGCACGGTATTCGCACGTAAGATAATCACGTAACGTTGCAACAACTCGACTTCTAGAAGCACCCGCCAAGGAATCAAAAATTAAAATCAGAGGTTGTTTAATTGCTTGTGATTTTGTTGTGGTATTTTGATTATTATTATTAGACGAAGCATTGTTCGCACATGATGCCACTTGACCACTTGCTGATGCTGACGCCGCAGATGTGCTGGCTCCACTATCAAAATCGCTATCTTCCGATGCTAAATCACTTTCGTCGCCTTCAGCTTCATCACGTTCACTGTCATCATCACCGACTCCACAAACTTCAGCCAACATATTACTGTTATCCCGCTTAGACAGTGGTGTAATTGTTGTATTGCCAATTTGCAGGGACACCTTTTTCCCCTCTATAAACAAATTGTTTTATTAAATTCTCTTTTCATTGAATTAATGTTTCATTTTGTCAATATACTTACTTTGTTTTTTCAATTGTTGAGGTTCCACTGGAATATTCGTATCATATGTGACAGGACCTTTTAAAGTTGGAAAACAAATAATAGCTAGGAACCAATGCGATTGTTCATTTATAGGTATAATGATGAAGTCTTTCTCAAATAAATTCACGTTTTTCGTCCAATTTTGAACGCGTGCATGCCGCTTCTGTGCTGCAGTTTGTTTAACATCTTTATCTATATTATGATGGTGTCGCGTCAACGTTGTTAAGCGTTTATAAAAGAACGTACTAAAAATAAAAGCTCGCTCTCGTTGCGCCTCTGGCACAACATTGTTGTGAACCCATTTTAAGTAAAAGTCGATTATTATATCATTTAAGTATTGATCCGTAGCTAAACAAAGGTAGTCTTCAGTATTAATTGATATCCCTCCTTTCCCTGGCGGATATATTAGTAGTTGCCTTATTTCATTAGGATTTAGCTGTGTTTTGGTCACTGTTGACGACGGAGCACTGTAAAACAAATAATAATAAATAAATAAAAAATAAATAACAAATAATGTTAAACATAATAAAAAACAAATCTTGCTTATTTATTTATTACTACTTACTCGTTAACTTTATTGGCAATTTGTCGATCTGTTGCTTCCGCCCTTTGCAATAAATCTTGAGCATCTACATCAGATATTTCATCAAAAAAGTCCCAAATAGATTTTATAACATTGCGAGATTGGTCTGAGCACGCGTTAAATTGCAATATTATTTTGCGTACTTGATATGGCCCATTTGGGGAAAAATATGAAGCTGTAGAAATATTTGCTATTAATCATCAACAAAGACCAGAGATAAAAAAAAAAAACATACCGGTATCCACAGTCGCGCTATTGTCTTTCATTTGCAAGCTGGTCTTTATATACTGTGCACAGTTTCGTAAGGTATAAAAGCAAAGCATCGATTCCGATACCTTGGAAAAATGAGCGATTATTTTGACAACCTCACGTTTATGGATGTGTAAAGGGATGCTTTCATTTGGGTTGGTGACTAACGGAGCTATTAGACAAACACCCTTGGAAGTAAATGTTACCTGGAAATATATACATACTTATTATGAAACCTTCATAAATATTGCCTTGTATATTCAAGAACTTACGGGTTCCTTTGGCTCGAAGCGATATGTACCTATTCGCACAATCTTGCACTGTAAGGCAGTGCTTAATTTATCAGTGCAGTTAGATAAATCAGTCACATCATCCCGCTGAAAATCTGCAAATATCAAAAATTAGCTTCAAGGATTTTTTACTTATACATATATAAAATATATTTAGTTATTTATTATACATTCACGGTTACAAGTAGTTCAATGCTTCTTTTTGTACACATTATCCCAACAACAATAATAAATCGCATTATTATTGCCAGAAATACTTCTGCTAATGTATTTTCTAGACATTTGAGAAAAATCACACGTTTTTACATTTTGCTGTTGCTTTTATATGACGTTTAGTTCAGCAGCGGCATCGATTGCGACCACTAAACTTTTATTAATATTCTCACCTTCCAACTCCATCGCTCTGTTGAAAACTATTGATTACGAAATAATATTCATTAAAACTATTTTGCTTTTCAAACGAAGACTTATACTGAACAATTTAACAATTCTTAGCAATCAAATTTTTCTAATTCACTTTGATTTTCACTTCGTGAAATAATGGCGACAAGGTTCGTTCAGGGTGACATCTGACGGAAATCAATTAAGTTAATTTCGAAAAGAACAGTGTTGCCATAGGCAATAAGTATAACGCAATATCAAAAATATCGCTCATACTGCCTTTACAAAAAAAAAAAAAAAAAAAAAAAAAAAAAAAAAAAAAAAAAAAAAAAAAAAAAAAAAAAAAAAAAAAGCAAATAAAGTTAAAAATTAATGTAAATAATAAGTAATTAATATACGGCAAGGAATCTGCCGATACTTGTTTCCCATACTCAGCACATATTTTGGTGAACGCTTTTATAATTAAAGATATCGCCAAAATTAAAGTAATTAGTAAAATATACATTTTCATTGAATTTGCTGTTGTTATCTAAAATCATGTTTGTCTTGCTTGTTTACTCACGGCAAAATCTGCAAGTAAAGAAGACGACGATAACCCCTTGCTGGTTAGAGATTCAAGAATTACTAGCGGTAAGGCATGCCTGTCGTAAGCTCCCGCCAGTCGGGTCTTTATACCGGAACGACCCGGAATTTTCTCCGGCCAAGGAATGTCACTCCCGCAACATTCCTCAAAAATTATCTTGATGAATATTTTTGCGGTTACGACAACAACAACGATTTTTTTCGAGTAATTAACAAAAAAAGAAGCGACAATTTTAAATTTTTCTTACTAGCCATATATGTTTTTAGCGATATTAAGGTAAAAATCGTAAAAGAAATCACCAATGAAATTAGAAGAATGTAATATAATAATCAAAAATGACAAACGTTTTATCAATAGAGATTTAGATGAAGAAATTATTTCTCAACTCGATAGCCAACTAAGAGTGTTTTCCTTAATACTATTAAAATGTTTCTAACCGCCTTGCTTTCAATCTCCGTTGAAGACCAATGGGAATCTCTATGAGCTACATCCCCGTAGACTGTTAAATATATCGCGTATTAGACGCAATCAACCGTTGGATACTTTTAATAGCAAAAGAAAACTTTGCTTCACCATTCTCACCATTTTTTTAGAGGCTCTTTGGGGCTATTGTCCGCACTTAAGTGTCAATCTTGAGGCCCACAAATTATGCCGACTACCTTGGATATTATTTAGTAAATATTATTTTGTACGTAAGTACGCACTCACAATATTGGCCAGAACTAAAGCATCCCTAAGGTGTTTCAAATACAGCCAAATTTCTCGATGAAATAAATACATAGATTCCCAGAATATTTTGTACTAAACCTATTATTTTTATGACTTCAACGAATGTCTTGGACATCAAAGAAATTTTGATAGAATAAACAGTTGGATGTGTAATTTGAAAAGTGGAAACTATAACAATTTTTCGATTGGCAGGCTGTGTATTCCATCCCAACTCATTTATTAAAAATAATTGTTACCTCGAATTTATTTGAGTTCGCCGTCCCTTTTGAACTTTTAGCATATTTTGAGTTACATTAAGCTGGGGAGTCGAATTTCCTTTCCGGAGTTATCGAAATCCATAATCGTTAGTACAAGCGAAACGATTTGACAAATCCTATCGATAACTAAGTGAACCCCACTACAAGCAAAGCCATAATGACATTACTTTAAAGAGTCCAACTAGCAGGTTATTATGATTTTTTATAAACAATTTTGTAGCACTCTTCTGTTTTTATAAGAGCACCTACTACTAATATCTGTATAAGTGAGATTGGATTACGCTAGATGGCTGTAAAACGAAAGGTGATATTTTGTACTAAAAAAAAATTATTGTTTGGAGCGTTGATAGACACCATTTCTTTATTCTAAAATTTTTCTTCGATAAAGTCAGACAGCAGAAAATGGGAACAGTGTTTATGGTCCTTTTGTTGTTGTTATAGCGGTTCGCTAACCCTGCTTAGGTACATTTTTGATCAATATAAGTCGCCAAGGTCATCTAGTGGGAGGTCCAGGGAACGAGCTGTTTCGACGTGATTGGACCAAAGGGAGAGGTGGGTTAGATGAAGGGCATATGTTGGATATGCTTGGGTCGAGTCTGGATAAGTACGACTAGAACCTGCTACAATATCCAGACCTAAGTTGTGCCAAGGTCACGCGGGTCTCTCGAGGTAGCTCGAGCTCGTTATCAGCAATGGGTGATGGTTTTACTCCGAGCACTCCATTCGCTGGAAGGGAGTGTTTGAAGGTGCTGACTGACTCCTGGGGAATGGCGATCAGTGACTGTCCTGTCCAGCGGATGTTGTGCATATTGCTGGATGGTGTTTTTTAAGAAGCATAGATACTTCACTGTGCAAGTGATGCTCCCTCTCGGAGACCTAACCCTGTTTAGGTCAACAGGTAACATTTGTGGTCGTGATACAGTAACACTTATATCATGCGCAATTTTGGCGTAAAAGATACAGTGTGAATCCGGAACAAAATAACCCATTTCTAAGCGGATAGCGAATGGTGATGAAAAGTGGATCGCTGGAACATTCAAACGATCATTTGCCGGCCCTTTATATAAAGCATATATACGAACGATTTTTTAGAGTTTAGATTTAGGGCCATCTGTTTAACACAAAAAAAAAATGAATTTGCCATTTAGCCCCCATACTACTGAAAATCATCGAAATTGGAAGGATTCACTATATAACTTCCCTCCAACTAATTTTTCAGGTATGAGAATTGAATGAAATACCATAAATTAGATATGATAATGTAAGGTATCTGGCTGAAATTAGGTCTTCTTACTTTTTCTTGCCTCCTAAATTTACAAAAATTTAATATGAGATGAAGTATTGCTTTCGGTTTCATATTTTCTTTTAAACTGTAAGCCTAAAAAGAGGAGGTACAAGATTTAAAATGAAGTTGGTAAACTGAAGACTCCCTAATGTATATAGCATATAATAACGAATCGAATAGATTCAACAATTCCTGACCGGCCGTGCGTTTGTCTTTGCGTGAAAACTTGAAATATTTTGGGATACGAGTATGTATTTCTGTTTATACCCTGCCGAATCGGTGCACAAGAACACCAGTCGGTGTTGAGTAAATTTTTTTTGGTTTGATAATAAAATTCAACGTTATTAATATTGTTGTTGGGGGAATAATATCGTACCTGAATAAATTGCATTTTCATCGACTTCTGGCATAGTTGCCTCAAATCCCAGTGGTTCGTAGATTTGTGGCTTGCAAATTTGAGGAGCAGTATTAGAGGTCAAAGTAAACTAGAAAAAAATGGATATGGCAATGTAAAATACAAAAAACAAAAGTTTTAAGTTTCACTAAATAGGATACTTACCGATCCAGTCCCCTTGTTTGACGATTCGTCATCACCTTCTTCGTCACTGCTTAGAGTGAGAATTACTGGTTCAACTTCTGCGGCTCGACGTCCACTACGCGAGCCCCGTCCTCGAGCAGCAGTACCAGGCCCGCCACGACCTCGTGTTGAAACCACACTACCACTGCTGCTATATGCGCTTAGAGTATTTCTTGTTTGACTTCGTGCTAATGAATCACTGCCACGACGTTTATCGTTTGACGAAACCTCATTACTTCCAATCGATTTTTGTAACGGTGTATCGCCAGCGTTTGAAGGGTTATTATTTCCCATATTCTTGCCGCACGGTATACGTTTCGGCGGATCTTGAAAAACACGCTTACATCGTTCGCATTTAGCATGATCGTAGCCACTAAATCCACAGCTTTGACAAACAGCAAGAAATCCTTGTATGTATTTTCGTTGCACATCATCTGCTCCGGTTGTAGATGAAGTAGAATTGCTCTTTGTGACATTTGTAGTGTTGCTATTGATGTTTCCATCTTTTTGTGACGATTCATTGACAACTGTTGTGTTGGAAGGTTGATTTGTGTTACTTGCAATATTACCATAACTACCTGTTGACTGAGTTTGTGTAACGGTTCCATGCGATACAGTTGTATTTGCACCACTATTTGCAGAAGAGACATTACTTTGTGCTACACTACCTCCTCCCATTGCATCATGTTGTCTATTCATTTGCAAAGTTTGCTCTGCTCTTGATATCAATTCACTTGCTGATTCCTGGACTGAAAATCCGACTGTGACAACAAAATCTATATTTGCACCAGGATTTTCCACACATTGTATCGTAGTCGTACTATCAAACGGCACACCAACTTGTTCAAGTAAATCTTGAACAGTACACGATTCACGAGGCAAGGTGAATGTTATAAGACGTTGCTCACCTGACACCAGTATAACCAACATCTTGGCACTGTTTCTATCTTTCTCTGCCATTTGAGTATTGTTTCGATTCTGCATAACATGCTGAGTATGAATCTCGTAATTGTTGTGAGAAGTACGGTGTACAGCTGATGATGACGTTGTAGTTGTCATTGCTGCTTGAGATTGCTGTGACTGGGGGGGCTGTATTTGTTGAGGTGCAACTCGCGCAACTGGGACCATACCAGAGTTTCCAGCAGAATGATTTGACAATATTTTATTTGGAAGAGAAGGTCCGCCAGCTCTCAGTGGTGCTTTCATTTGCAATATTGTGGTTGGGGTCGTAGTCGCCGAACCAGGGGTAGTAGGATTGCGTTTTCGGTACTCAGATAAACTAATGCAAGTCCCATTTTGAGTGCGTACCATACGCGTGTCATCATCTTCTTTGGCATAATAACTGGTTAATGTGGTACCAACAGCATTGTTTATATTAGTTGTTGAGCCAGTCGGCTTTTGCTGATCTTTCTTAACCACAACCGCTTGAATACTATCTTCCAAGTCCAATTCATAGTTACCGCTACTACTACCCGAATTAGCGGTGCTGCTACTATTGTTTGCACTTCCACTCGCAGTCATTATTGGTGACCGAAAACGTGTCCCAACTATTTGTGCCGTTCGTTGCTGAGGTTGCGCTGTACCTGTTACTAAATGCACGTGCTGCTGCTGCGTATCTGCAACGTTGCGGTATATATGTTTTACTTGACCTTGATTTAGAATAGTGATATTTTTGCCCATAGTATTTTGTAGGAGCTGTTGAGACTGTGATATTTGCTGTTGTACTTGCAACTGTTGGGACTGTTGCTGTTGAACCAAGGACGTGGCCACTTGGGTGCTTCTGTTAGTAAGCGCCGCACCACCACGGCCTCCTCGCGCCGCTCCACGTGTTCGTGTGCCTCCAGCAGCTCCTCCTCTAGGCCTAGTAGCACGAGGAGTTTGTGGCGGTTGCATCGTTGTAGTCACAGGAGGTCGAATCACACGTCCTACAGAAGCAACTGGCATACGTGCAATTAATGTATGTGCTCCTCCAAGAGCACCACCACCTCGTGGTGATTTATTACGAATCGCACCACGCATTACACCACCTCCCGTCACACCACCTCCTATTGTTGCAGACACTAGATGTTGCTGCGGTTGTTGTTGCAATTGCATTTGAGACTGCTGTTGCAATTGCGGTTTTAATTGCTGAGGATTTTGAACAGTAGCTGCTTGAATTTGATGAAATACAACATTTTGCTGAGCCTGTGGTTGTTGATGTTGCGCCGTTTCTTGCGGTGATGCACCTACTCTCGTCTGAACTAAACGTGCAGTTGTATGAATAGGACTATTACTAGGTGCGGCTTGTAATTGTATGTGCTGCTGTTGCTGCTGCTGTTGGGGGTGTTGCTGAGGTGCTTGAGGAGATTGTTGTAAAACAGTTTGTGTTTGGGTTTGTTGCTGTTGTTGAGGTGTATATAAAACACGATTTGTATTGTAGATTATACGTTGCTGTGGCATTTGTTGACGCATTATTATGTCTTGATGTTGAGGTGATTGTATAAGAACTTGTTGTCCCGATGGCTGTTGTAGGATGACATGCGTGTTGTTAAGCATCTGAAACAATTATAATGCAGTTCAGAACACAAAATAATTTGAACAGTATTCGACCAGTCCACTGCTAGTCTTAGTCAGAAAAAATAAGATATAAAAAAAACTTATTCGGTTATGCACAGCAAGTTCTTTGCTATTGTGAATAAATTTAAATTATTTTTGTCTATTGCGATTGTGGTAAATCACGCATGTTTAAAATATTATGGAAAATGGAAGTAGTGTCACCCGCTTTCAGACTGAAATTTTTTTTTACATAAAAATTAATTTAATTAATTATTAATTTCGGCAGCGAATTGTCCACCCAAAAAATTATAGAAAATACATTTAAATATAAAATGCAGTTAAACATCTAACATTAAATAAAGAATAAAAAAATATATACATATTTTGTTCACCAATTTAAAAAGTGGACTCCGAAATGTAAAATGACATTTATTCTACCAATAATTTGATTCACCTTACATCATGCTCTCCCAATTGAATTTTTGCTTCAATAATAAAAAATATGTTGAATATACCTGTGTTTGTTGAGCTTGAGGTTGTTGCGCCTGCATTCTGTAAACAATTTGTTGAGGTTGTTGAGGAGCCTGCATTGAATGCTGTTGCTGATGTACAATTTGCTGCTGTTGTTGCTGTTGTTGTTGATATTGTTGTTGCTGAACATGTAGCTGTTGCTGCTGCTGCAGCTCCTGTTGTTGTTGTTGTTGCTGCTGCACTATGGAATTCGGCTGTAATATTTGCTCAGTAGTATAATATAATTGTGGTTGCTGTTGTTGCTGTGTTTGCTGGGCCAGTTGGTGGTGGTCTTGTTGCAATTGCGGAGCCTCATGTACGTAATGTTGCTGCTGTTGTTGATGGTGATGATCGTACATCACTTGCTGTTGATGTTGAACCGCCTGTTGTTGTTGCTGCTGTTGGGAAATTTCATCCCCTATTATATATTGTGTGGTTGTTGCAGTTGGCTGTTGTTGATATTGCTGTTGCCCTTGTATACTTGCAGTTTGATAAACAACCTGTTGACCTTCATTTAACATTAGTTGATCATCCGGGAGAAGTAATTGCTTTAATAAAAGAGATGAATACGACATTATAAATATAATAATAGGAGTAAAATATTATATATTTTTTTGAATTACAAGCTGCTAGAAATATAAATTAAGTAAAGAATAGGCACACCAAAATAACAATAAAAATATCATTACTTCACCCTCAATATTAAAAAAAAAAAAAAAATTTATAATCTATTTAACTTATAAACAAAACAAAAATTGAGATATATTCATAACTTTTAGGAATAATATTATAATTAAAATAACGAGGAATTAAACAATACATCTTCAACAGCATAAATATTTGGCATTCCTACGTTACATGTACATAACTATAAAATAAATTAATTTTATACATATGTTCAAATTTGTTAATAGCTATGAAAAGTATAAACCTGTGCTCTATTGTGGCTTCCGACACCCACATCCTCACTCGCAACGTGAACCACTTGGACATCTGCGTAGATCTGCTTCAAGTCATCGAGGTTTTGTATTTGGTAATATTGCGCCATTGGGGTCTCTCTGTTAATCGAAATAAAATGTTCAAGTGGTATATATAATTAATTTTTTATTTTATTTAATACATATGTACAATATAAATACAAATAAATGTAATGCGTTCAGAGCGCGCAATAGGCCTAATTGTCGCAGAGCATATCCTCTATACCTATTCCTAAAAAGTTTACAATTGTATCACAAAATTTTAATATCTTATGTGCAATATTGTTTCATGGACGTCACAATATGTTAACTTTTATGTGTTAACCCACTATTTCAAAGGTTATATATTTATATATATATTTTTTAATGGATAAAATAGGATTTCCCCAAAATTTAGCAATAAACTTCTAAAAAATTTAGGCCTCCGGTGATTTTGTTTTTCAGATGGCGGTCTATATTTGATTCACATTTTCACATTTTCAAAATACTAATTGCTAGTATTTTTGACCAGTATTTTGTGACCACGGCTCGAACTTTTGACTTTGTGGAATAGGTAATTAAATTTTATGCATAAATTTTATTTTTCATCCTACGAATACGATACTAATTAATGTGACCACCCGATACCTAATAAGTTTAGGATTAAATGGTAAATATATATGAATAAACTAGAATCTACAAATAGTATTCGTACAAACTATTAAGATTAAGACCTTGGATTTGCCGTAAAACAGTAGATCGGAATGTAATCAGAAAATCTGAAGTATATAGTTTTCCATTTGTGTTATGGAACTACGGATAAATATATATCCTTTTCCCTAGTAACTTATTTGCCTCGGAATTCGAATACAGCTTTTATTCTTCATATTTACAAGCATTCGGTTTTTGAATATACATGAAGGCCTCGGCTTATGAACCATTTGATACACAACCACCACAAACACAACGAACAAAATTTTCTCACAATTACACAATGTTAAACACAATAAGACTCACATTTAATGGCACAATATCCAATTCAACCTTAGTATTTACAATCCCAATATAATATTCCGTTCAATTTACACAAATATCATTTTAATAAACTTCTTTTAAAATCCCGAAACAATGAAAAGATCTCAAACGAAAATTGCTTTCTTTTCACGTAGAAATCAAATATGGCGTGGAAATACAGTAAATTACCTCGCTCCGCACCGCGACGAGTGACATTCGGTGTTAAAGAATTTCGAATCATCCAATTTCGAAAATGCTCACACGGTCGCCATCGCGCTAATATCTTAGCGACATCTATACGATAAAGCACTTTTGACATTTTCTTTCGTTCATTCATTTTCTTGATAGTCGCACACAAATAATCGTCAAATGTCATCTGCAATCGTTTGTTTTGACAAATTAAGCGGTACCACTAACAATTCGTAAATTACAATAGTAGGACAAAGTGGCACCACTAAATCTTTTTGATCAGCAAAATTTAACAATATCGTGTTGGGAATAACTTTTTAGCGAATTTTTTTATATGTTCATCGCACAATCTTATAAGTACACTGTCTCCACATCTAACCCGGTTTTAATAGAAATTTTATAAGAAACTTTGCCTAGTTTACGAGAGCATCCGAACAAAACTTAATAATAAGCGAATGTCAGATAGTTTGCACAAGGACGTCAAAATGTTGTTTGTTCTCTGCTTACCGACGTTTGCTTCCATCATCTTCTCCCAAGCGAATTCTGAATTTAAGGCGAGTTCATACAAGGTGAAGCCAAGGCGAATTTATGGCGATGGAAGCAATGCAAACAATACACTAATTACATCGTATTTTACTTTTGCTTTTGCGGCAAAATGAAGTTAATATCTTTTCTTAATGATTTTCGTTGGAGTGAATACTGGTATTATGTTAAAATTCTAAATTCCCACGAAGCTAAAAATAGATTGTAGTCACGCTCTATTATGTGGAAATACAAAGCTGGAGGCGTTGAAGCATTCTTAAATTGCGGTTATTTGAATTTAATGCCCAGAATATGTGAATATATGTACGGAAATAGTTATATTTATCTAATTATAAAACTTTGTTTTTATTATATTTTAACAAAAAGGGTTTTTATTATTAAAATTGAAAATATTTCAATTTACATATATAGACTAAAAAAATTTATAAGTATGGAAAAGGATTAAATCATAAAAAATATTTTAACTACTTTATTTTTTGCGTTTTAGAATTATTGACAAAAATCATGCATCAGGCACTCATGAAATTGTAGACATTTTTTAATTTTTGTAAGCTTGTTTTTTGCAAGAAAAAAAATTTGAGATTTTTACTTTTTTTAATTTATAACACAAAAAACTTTATACCTTTTATGGATATACATAAATATGTTTACTTTATTTCACGTAAAGGTATGTATCGCAATTATGCTATTATTTAGTATATGCCCATTTATATACTTAGTAATAAAACACTAATTTAATTCGATTATACTTAATTGTGAAAAATGTTATGTGAAAAATACATACCTAAGTATATTTGCAGCGAGGAAGCTATATATTGTTAAATTGATGATTTTCATTTCATTTCATTCATAAAACCGAACGGCATTACATATTCCCCGCATGCCCTTGCCATCACTTCCAGCCAGCTCAATTTCAGTCTTCAGCTGAAAGTAGTGTCTATCTCAGAGTCTTTTTTGTCAAATATAAAATAATGGCAGAGAACGAATAACTGTTATATATATGTGAAGCTGACAGGCAAACTAGATGATGAGGACATCGTCGGAACGAAAGATTTCAGATTAAATACGCAGGCAATGAAAGAATCAACGAAAAAGGAAACAAAATTTACTTTGGTATTAAAATTTACCATTCAGTAAATTTGTTACTATTTCGTATTCTGAGTTCACTGTCAACCTATAAATTTTGTTACCAGCGAATAAGGAGAAAACAAAAAACTACTGTTTGATTTTGTACTGTTAGTTTGAGAACAAATAAAAACCAAAATAGGTAAGCATATTTTAGGCCTGGAATTCATTGAAAGTGAAGAAAAAAGTGGGAAAAGGTGTATGCTAAGAAGTTTGCGAGAAACAAATGAACCTTTTATTTTGGAAGATAGCGTTTTCATTCAGCATTTTTTTGTCACTTAGGCATATTTTCCAAAATTAGTCTCAAATATTTATGATTTAATAAACATATAATTAAAACTTATTCAATTTGATGTGAACCGTCTTCCATTCAGATGTGAATATTATTCTTTTTCTATAGCAACTGGCAAATGTAATTTGACAAGGACGAAAAGTTTTTTCTAATATTGTACAAAATTCAATTTCGGGTGTTAAAAAAAAGTAACAAAATTTACTTTACCAGTAACAGTGAGAATAGGACTGAGAAAAGAAAATAATTAAAATGATTTAGAAATCAAAGGATCTCAGCTGTTTTCTAATGTAAACAGACAAAATGGGGCATGACAAGTATGAAAATTGTAAACCTCTACGCAAGGCAAATTCACCCACGATTGTAGCAAGGATACACAAACAAAAACCCTACGTATTTTGTAATTATAGTTTCGAAAAGTCAATGTATTTTGTTTGTGTAAACGAACGCTCAGAATGTCAATACTTATTTCTCTGTGTAATTTTTTTGTTTGTTAGTGTAATTTTTTGAAATGGAAGGAAGAATAAGCAATCATATGATTAACAACTTCACCTTCTGTAAATTCGTCTCGCCTACACGATGTGTGCGGTGACAAGAGGGTTGAAACTTGCTGCAGGTTTTTACATCGATTTCAGATACAAAATAAATTGGAAATTTTAGAATTTTTCTGTCCGTAGCGAAGAAATTGTTTATAGGCTCGATACGCTGCGGTGAATATTGGAATCTTTATAATTTGATATTTTGCTAGAGTTGCAAGGAGAAGCTAAGGGCATAGTTTTAATGAATAAAAATATTTTGTTGTTTCTCTACTGAAGGAACGTACATTTATCATTAGGGGAGTTTTTTATCGTATTATAACGATTTTCGGATCGTTGAAATAGCTTTACGAAAATTTAACGATCTCGCTATTCTCTAGCATGGTATAACGATTTTCGGATGGCAAAGAATACTTTTTAGGCATATTCGCTATAGTCTAAGCATGGTATAACGATTTTCTGACGATTTTAATATACGGTGTACTTATTTTAACGATATTCGCTTCCGTTGTTGTTGTAAACTATTCGACAAATCGCTAACTAAGCGACTAATATTTTTAAGTTGTTAACGATATCGACAAAATATTTCTATTTCATTAAGGTTGAAATAAAGTAAAGTAAATCGGGAAATTGCCTAAGTTTTATAAAAATGAAAATGAAATTATAAACATAAATAGGTTTTGAGCATTTGACATACGTTTTATCCCAAAATGAGGAGGTATTATACACTATTATGCCCACATGCACTTGCACTTACAAGAAAACAGATCGTTTCTAATTAGTTGTCACATCACCAGACAAGATGGTTTCTTAAGAATTCAAAATACAAAAACATTTTACATATAAATTATATGAAAATCCATATGTATATGTATGTACATATAAGCATTCTTTCTTTCTTTTCTTTCATGAACTCCTTATACTCTAAGAACTCTTAAAGACATATATTTCTTTAACACGTTCTCGCCGGGGCCTGTTTTCATGAGCTGACGGGCGCGTTACACCCGGCAGCGGGCGTTTTTTGTCTGTTGAGCAAACGCGATTCACAACTGTACCTCTCATCATTTAGTCTCTTTGTTGTTGCTTGTTTTATAACTGTTAATCTACTCTTTTGTTTTCATAGAAAGCTTTCCCTCTCTGCTTTTCTACCGATCTTTTTAATTACTTTTTTTAATCAGCGCGAAATGAGAAGTTGTCAGCATTGCAAGGGTCAGCTAGCGGTTAAGTTCAGAACAAAGTCGGCGCTGTAAAAGGCTACATGCAATTTAAAATTAAACGCGCTAATACTTAATATTTTGATTTGTAAAGCTCTTGTTATAGCTTCATGTGCTTCATATTGTTAGATTTTAATGAAAGTAAGTTGTACATGTCTTTAGAAAATCTTATTTTTATTTATTTTATTATTTCTAATATTAGAATGTCAACTATGGGTTTAGAAATTAATGATTCCTCAGATGAATCTGCAGATATTTTATAGTAGAAAAAGTGTCAACGTGTCAATTACATTTCAGATGAAGATATACTAGAATTGAAATCTAATCTTGCCGATATTTCATTCAACGGTAGTAATTAACAATTGGGCATGAATATCCAAAGTGAGGGTGAGGAATGGAGGCCAATTCAAAGAACGGAAATAGAAGGGACCGTTACAAAACATGGCAGAACTTCTAATACGAAATATTGAATCCGATGACCCTTTTGAGTACTATAAATTATTTGAGCTCAAAAGGATATATGTTTGCACATACATATTTATTATTTTTGGTGCTGCATATATATATGTATATATAGATGGAAGGATGTGCCTCGCGACCTTTGGTCTCTTCCCTGCAGGAGCGGGGTGATAGGTTCACCAACATACCCACACGATTTCGGGCAGCAAACATATGCGAATTTCTCTTCTGAGTACATACAAATTGAAGAAGAAAGCAGTTGAACAGATTTTTCGATTTTCTTTGTTCTTATTTTGGAGCAGAACACCATTTTGTATAGTTTTCTCCGCAGCAGATTGAGTAGAATGAACGCTTCTCATCTTGCAGCAGCTGCAGCAAAAATATTCAACAAAACTTTGGGGGGTATAACCGCATTAAGATATTTATAACATTATGATTCGAAAATAATTTTTTTAAATTTACTTAGATGTCTTAATACTTCAAAAGAGCTGCGATTATGACGGAGGCGTGGAGCTGAAGTGCTGCGTCACTATTAAAGACTTCTTTATATGCGGTTTTACTTATAATATTTTACTGATTTTTGACAATGAATTTATTGTTGTGTTGTTATTCCTTTTGTATGCTATGTATACCATGTACATGATTTATGTTAACTATTGAAATAAAGGCTGTACCTTAATAATGTTTGTATGTATGTATATATGTAAGGAAAATTTTTGTCAAAGCTGATTTCCTTCAACATCAATGCTGTCGCTCATATGTGTTCGGCTTGTACGGCACTGCTGCTGTTTTTTACGCCCATATTATTTTCTTTTAGTATCACTGCTGTCGCTCAGCTGTGTTCTGTTTGTACGAATGACAAAAATGCACAAGGAAACGAGGGGAGAATGACGTACACGTATGCAAATGTAAACAGCACGTTTATCATTTCGGCCTTAAGAAAGTGATAGGAAAAGCCGTTCTACATGCTGACGGCATATGTCTTAATCCATTCCTAACATATGTTGGCTCAAATGATCGAAAGACTTCTTGCAGGGATATGAAAAAATGTTCATGATACGGCAACTTTTCATGTCAGCTGTAAATTTTCCTTGTTTAGTAATGTCATTAATGTCAGTAACTACTTCCAGTTTTTTTTGTTGATGAAGTGAGTCATAATTATTGAGTTTCTATTTATTATATTCTGCTGGTTGTAATCAAACTTTTCCACTTTTTGAAGCACAGTTTAAAAAAATAAAGATGTTCTCCAGTGGTCCGAACTATACGAAATTAAAGACAAATCTTCGCCTTGCTTTGAACCGTCTTAAGTTACTTGAAAAGAAAAAGGCAGAATTGGCACAAAAAGCCCGTAAAGAGATTGCTGATTACTTAGCCACCGGAAAAACGGAACGAGCACGAATTCGTGTGGAGCACATAATACGGTAATACATTTTTTTTAAATCATCATTGCATTTTCCTTTGTTATAACTACATTTATGCATGTACCCCAGCGAGGATTATCTTGTGGAAGCAATGGAAATAATTGAAATGTATTGTGACCTCTTGTTGGCAAGATTTGGCTTAATCACACAGATGAAAGAATTAGATGATGGTATTGCAGAAGCGGTATCATCTTTAGTATGGGTGTGCCCTAGGCTACAAAGCGATGTAGCTGAACTTAAAGTGATTTCCGACATTTTTATTTCAAAATATGGTCCACAATTTGCGGAGTATTCACGTACTGCAACAGGCGACCATCAAGTATCTGCAAAATTAATGAACAAACTTCAGCTCCAAGCACCACCCAAATTGCTGGTTGAAAAATATTTAATTGAAATAGCGAAGAACTACAATATAGAATATGAACCTGATCCCCAGGTTATGCAAGAAGAAAAATCTGGTAAAAATATAGGTACATTACAAATTTTATATTTCTAATAAAACATATTTAACTATATTTCAGCTGATGAGCAACAAGCACATTTAATTGATCTATCTGATAGAAATAATTTAGGAGGAGGAGGGGCTATGGGTCCTCCCCCTCAAATGGGTTTTATTGGTTATCCTAGCCTACCACCGCTTCCTGACCCTCCAGCATCGAAACCGTTCAATTATCCACCGCCATATGGCCAGGGGCCTGGATCTGGTAATGGTGGATACAGTGCTTCTCCCCAACAACCGTTTTCCTATAATATCCCACCATCTCAACCTAATTATGAGCAAAAAGATTTAAACACTTCTTTCATCAATGTAAGTTCAAATATATAAAATATTGAAAATTTAAGTAATTGTAATTTGGAAATCGCATGCAAAATGTTTTGTTCCTTTATCTTTCGTAATCTTCTTTATGGCATTAAAACCCTAAATAGAAAGAATCGTCCGATAATATTTCAACAAAAGCAGAAGAGGGTGTAGCATCTGGTGTTTTCACAGAAGAAGAGAATATTTTGGTAGGTTTATACAAAATGCGAAATATTTCTCTTAAAATATAAATGTACATACATATGGCTGCATATTCGTCTTACTCATGAAATCGACAATAATAATATTCCACTTGGTAAAAAAAAAATATCCTAATGCAAAAAATAAACTACCGTAACCGTGTATTGGAATATCTCACATCACCACTTCATTTACATAACATTAAAATTCGTTTCTATTGAGTTTTAGGAGTTTTCTAACTTATAACTTTCGTGAACATCAAATGTTATGGTTATCTCAGGGAAAGGAAGGCTTGAAGGCCCTTGCGTAATCGAATACAGCGTTTCGTTTTTTGCTTTTTATTCCTTTCATTAGTTGGCATACTTCACAATTATTTCTAAATTCAATATTTAAAATAAAGTGTTTTTTACTTAGAATGTATATACACTTAGCTATAACTAAATATTAATTAAATTACCAAGTTTTCTATTTAGAAATCATTTCGCTAAGTTCCTTTAATTGAATATATGCAGTGTCTAAAAAGTTAAGAGTAAAATACTTACTTTTATCTTTCTCACTTCTAGTTACTCAGAAATAAAACTATTATTTTTCATACTATATGTCTGGTGTGGTTGTACCTATACATCTATATCATTTTTCTTTTTTAGTGAACTCGTCGTGTTCGTATTTAGTCATTATTGTTAAATGTCTTTTTTATTTTAAGCCGACAACAGCTTTTATTGCCTTAAAAATTATTTATTATTTTCTTAATTTTTTATTATATCACAGCGTCCTAAACCGTTTGATGATCCCCCACCGCGATATTCTTCAATTAATCCCTTTAACATGCAGGTAGTCCTCCCTCTTTATTTTTATAATTCTGCCTATGTATATGAAATCGGCAAAATATATCTTTGTACATATATATATTATTTATATAATTTTGGTATCTAAAATAAGTTATGCAATGACTTCATTTACAATTTTACAGGGCACAAATAAGCCAAAACCACAGCCACGACAAAAGTTACCGCCTCCCGGTCCAAGCGCACCACCTGCTTTGCCTGATTTGCCAAATGTTCCAAATGATCTACCTGAAATTACTGCAGACGAAACTAAACCAAGTAATACTGATAACGATGAAATAGACTTTGATGACTTATCACGCCGTTTTGAAAATTTAAAAAAACGCAAATAGTTAATTACAAATAAATCGATAAGTATTCAAAATATTGTCATAACTTTCATTTAAGTTTCAAGTTATATAATTTACCTAAATATTTTACCAATACTATCAATATACACACGAAAATGTATGAGTAAATATATATTATATAATTCTTGTCTTTTATTTCAAATTTAAATATGAAAATTTGAGGCATCCGAATGAAGAATACCACCGTTATGTGTGTAAATAGCCAAAGGAAATGCGATTCTTAACTCGTATTTGTCTTCTACTTGTGAGGTACACAGTGGATTCGTCGTCCTATCCCTTTGGCGAGGGATTGTAGATAGTTAGCCTTCTTGTCTTGTGAGATTGGATTGGAAATAATAAGAAGACCGAAACTCGGAAAAATAAATAGAATTCGGGACTTAATTTGGCGACTTGTAGTTTCGAGTTAATGCTGGCCGGAATAAGTCTGAATGAACAATTTGTATTAAAAACTTTGTTGAGTAAAATTTTGTTAGGTGTTATGGCAGAAAACGGAGTTATATATTAGTTATTTTTGGCACTTTGTTGAATTTAATACTGCCTTTAAATCTGCAATAGATAGTAAGACTACATTTCTACATGGCAACTGTATTTTAAATTACACTTTGAAATCAATGGATAAGGCAGTAGAAGAAATATTTTGCTCTTAAATATCGTAATTTTAACATTGCAATAGCGGATTTGAAGATATCAATATAGTATAGTACAAATGTGATTGTGGAGTATTATATATGTCTTGATATTTTTCCAACCTATGGAGTTTTTACTGTGCCGCCTCTGGACAGCTGATAGGCTTTTATGAGAAGCTTTTGATTTTCCTGTTCAAATTACACTCGAAGGGGCGACTGCAATTAAAAAATTTACCTTGATTTTTTATGACTTTCCAATGTTTAAAGTGCGGAGTATTATTTTTATCAAAATAAAGGTAAATAGCGTTTTAAAGAATTATTACAAAATTTATTGTTTTTACAGCCAACATTCAATTAGGAGAATGAAATTATTATAGTTATCTAAAATACTTCCTCACTTTCAACAACTTCTTTTAGCTCCAGCAATTCAACAAGACCCTTGCCTTTAGTTTCATTTCGCACAAGCTCGTCAATAACGCGGTAGTTTCCAGGGTCTATAAGTAACGTCAAGTGAAGGGTCGCGTCATCCCATTCTTCGTGCTCTACCTTAGTAGCTAATTTGTTTACAGATTCCTTCAATCGATTGCCACACTCCTTACCGGCAAATGAAACGCGGAGCTTCATACGGGAGCGTTCCAAGGGCATATGTTCACGAAGTAATTTGATAGCATCTAAAGTCTGTTGCTTCGTGTTTTTGTTCATTTTAATCGAAAAATGAGCATCTTTTAATGATTTCTCAATAATGGAGGCTGGGTAAGGGCGACGAGTTTCAGGGTTGACACATAGCGCCGCTACACTGTTAACAATGCTATTGAGCTGGGAGTCCAAAACAGATTGACGCTCTTTTTCTGATACTTGGAGCTCTCCTTTGGCTAATATTTCCTTGCAAATTTCAGTTTCATCACTTTTACCAAAAGCTTTCATCAGTTCATCCTTCTTTGCTGCTTGGCCTTTAGATACATTAGTAAACACGGTATGTGTTTGTAATACCTCATCAATATCTTTTTCTCTGCAATATAAAGCTCCAATTAGAATGTAAGACCTAATATTTTTTTAAACTCACGTGTTACTTCTCCAGGATAACACTTTGTTTTTATAACAAGCAATTTCAAAACGCTTGCCTCCTTTTTTGAGCCTTACAACCGCTACATTTGTTAAACGGATCTGATTTGTGGGAGTAAATATTTTAGACATAATAAATATTATATTTTCAACAAAAATGCCGTTTTCAATTTTGTAAATAAAATAAAATTATTTATATTGTTTTGTTTCTAGTACGTTTTATTGTGAAATTAGGTATTTCCAATTACACAACGACGATACGACAAGCGACATGCCAAATTTCAAACACGTTCTTTTAAGAATATTTATTTACAAAACAGCACGACATGAAGCCAACAAGCGAGCGTATAACAGGTGCAAAGCCAGCGTTGAATTTCTGTTTCACCTCGATGTGAAAAATTAACAGAATTGACCGCATTCTAACACAAAATGTAAATTAATTAATGTAAATTAATTTCTTTTAACAGATCTATTCTGTTGAGGTAACAAAATTTACTTTGGTATTAAAATTTACTATTTAGTAAATTTGTTACTATTTCGTATTCTGAGTTCGCAGTCACCCTTTAGATTTTGGAACCAGCGAAATAGGAGGTAACAAAAAATCTGTTGTTTGATTTTGTGTTGTTAGTTTGAGAGAAAATAAAAACCAAAATGGGAAGGCATATTTTAAGCCTGGAATTCATTAAAGATAAAGAAAAAAGTGGAAAAAGGCGTATGCTAAGAAGTTTGCGAGAAACAAATGACCCTTTTGCTTTGGAAGATAGCGTTTTCATTCAGCTTTTTTTATGTCACTTATACTTATTTTCCAAAATTAGGTTGAAATATTTATGATAATAATCACATTAATAAAACTTATTTATTATTTTTAATATAGCAACTGGCAAATGTAATTTGACAAGAGCAAAAAAAGCTTTCCTAGTTTTTTCACTGCTTTTTACATTTGTTTATATAAGGGCACTCCATGTCGTACGGATGATCAGCTAATGGATCAGTTTGACTGTAATGGACGCTTCTCATATTTCTGCAGTAGCAGATTTAAAAATATTCAATAAAACTGTGCAAAGTACAACTGCATTTAGACATTAATAACATTATTATTGACAAATTATTTTTCTCGACTTAGATGTCTTTCTACTTCAAAGGAGCTGTGATTATGACGGAGGCGTTCGTGGAGCTGAGGAGCTGCGTCACTATTAAAGACTTCTTCGGTATATGCGGCTCAAAGCCACGTCAAGAAATATTTCTGAGCAATACTCCTTCATTACAAATGCATTCCTGATCTCATTGGTGATGCGATGGACTTGTTCTATAGTACCATGTTTTTCGCGAAAACCAAATTGATGGTTTGGTATAGTTTCGCATTCGTGGAGATAGCAGCACAAGCAACAAGCTAATTGGCCGATGTGATTAGGGCAACATTGCGTCTTTTCCGGGTTTAGCTATCATGATAATATGCGTGGAAAGAGTCACGCATTCGGAAAACATCCAAGTTCAAAGATGGTGTTAAAAAGTTGGAAAAAGGAATTGAAAGCAATATTTGGTAGCTCTATTAGCATTTGTGGTATTATGTGGTCGTAGGCATGCGTTTTTTTGATATTTAATGTTTTTGCTATGACTTTTATCTCAGATGTATTCACGTCGAGAATAGTCCTAGTGGCATAGTGAGACAAAAGTGGAATCGTAAAATTATTCATTGCTGCATTGGGTTAGAATGGGCCCAAGTACCGGTTCTCTGTCTGAGTGGTCTCTTAGTTTCTACTGGTAGCTTAAAGTTCTTTTCCGCCTTCCATAGTGAACTCCTTTGTGAAGAATTCGGCGTCAAAGAAGAGATAAATCTCTTTAGAAGCGTATCTCCTTCACATTTTAAAGCTCCCCTCAGGTTTTTCTCAGCAGCTTTTAGTTTTGTTTGATGGGCATCGACTATTCTGCCATTCTCGGCGCAGTCTGCGCATTTCGATTACCAGGCGCTCAATTAGGCTGTTGGTGGTTCGTTTTATACTTACGAAATTTTCTGTGGATTTTGGTATGGCTGTTGAGAGCAGACAGTTAAATAAGTTAATATTGTCTTTTATATCCATTTCACATATTACTTCAGTTTCCACTTGCATGTGGGTGCTAAGATATTTCTTGTACTTTAGCCAATTTGTTCTGAGCGTTGTTAGGCCAAATGGATTCTCAACTGTAGTTGGTTGTTCGAATAACTTGATCATAACTGGCGAATGTTCGGAGGACAAGTCGGAAGTGTCTTCTGCATTTATAAGGTATCCATCAATGTTTTTTGTATCTGCAAAATCTAAAAGATCAGGTACTTTTTTTAGATCAGCTGGCGAATATGTGGGTTGCCTGGGAGAAGCAATATCAAGATGATTTTGGTTACATGTAATTATGTATTATAATTGAGGCCTTTTGGGTTGACAAGACGGAAATCCCAGTAAGTATATTTGGCATTGTAATCGCCACCGGCAATAAATCTGCTACCTAGAGCACTGAGAAAATCATTTAATTGCTTTTCTCTTACAGAAAACCGTGGTGGACAATAAATTACAGATACCACTAGTTTATTTTCTCGATTTTTGAGACTGAAGTTGCTTGCATATAAGGTCTCTTATAAGAGTCAAAGAAGTGATGTTTTAGTCTATTTCGAATGTGAATAGCTGTACCGCCATGTGCTTTACCATCCGGATGGATTGTGCTGTAGAACTTATAGCCAGCTATATGAAAGTTGTACTTGTTCGCTAAATGCGTCTCAGTCAGTAGCATAATGTCCACTTACTAAGTTCCGCTTTGTGTTGGCTAATGCCATTTGAATTCCATATACCGAATTTTAGTTCACTCATTTACAATAGCAATCAACATCTGATTTTGGGCTTTGATTAAGTTCTGAATTATGTTTTGCATGGTAGACATAAATTGTGTCATACACTGAGTTAGGTTAGGTATCATTTCTTCTATAACACCACTAGTCGCGCTTGAGGACATTTTCTCCGGATTCGATTTCAGTGCTTCTGCGTATGAGGAGTTATTTGATGTTAATGTAGGAATATTCGAAGAAGCATATTTTTTCTCAGTTGGTGCTGGCACCATATTGGTCATCAGGGCGCGTTTGAATTGTATGACCTGGTTTGGATTAGTTTTTAGTTCTTAATAGTTTGCAGTGTGATTACCAGTGCAATTACTGCATTTCTTAGCAGTTAAACCTTCCTTTTTCCTACTGCATTTAGATTAATGATGTAACTCACCACATACTACGCACACAGTACGAAGGTACAATAAGATTCTGTGTGGCCGATGCTTGGCAATTCAAGCATTGGACTGACCCATTTCTTTTGCGTGGCTCTTCGACTGAAATTCTTCCATGTAGCAAGTACTTCAATTAATAGATAGGGTGCACTTAATTTTTTCTCAATTCTACCAAGTTTGGTACAAGTAATACCTTGTACATTGGTTACTGAACTTTGTTTCTGTTAAAAATATTAGTTACGGAGCTAGCAAAGAAGCTCTGTTCTTCTAGAGCACCTTTTACTTCTTCCAACCGTACTGCAGCTTCTATGCCCTTTAGAACGACTGCAAGGCCCTTAGAACTTTTCAACTGAGAAGAATAATAATCTTTATTGTTATTTGATGGAAATGTTACCACTTGACGAAAGCTTTTCTCAATGTATACTTGTATTTGGTGAATTTGAAGCTTCTTGAGTAGGGTAATTCATGTTGGCTCTTTTTGTATTAATTGTATTCTTCAGCGGGCTTGATTTTCGCTTCACGGTGATATGCCCGTCAATACTTTGGGAGCTGTGGGAGCTTTTTTATTTTCTCTCCTTCCTCCACTGTCTGCATTTCTTTCCTTTTCGGTCAAAGAACATATATTAATTTTAATTTTGTCTGCTGCTTTCGCTCCTTGCATTGCGGTGGTTTTGTGTTTCGTTGGAGACGGGGAGTTTGCATATTCTTTTGAATTCGAGGAAACAACTGTAAATTATGCGTTGCGATTGAATCGAATGCCTTCGCTCTCTATGAAGCGATCGCTGAGTATTCATATAAGTGCTAATTTATTTATTATTAATATTACTAATATTATTTGATTTATTTTTTCTTCTTTTTAATTTATATATCAACTTAGTTATTTTGTTTTCATTAAATTTATATTTTTTATTTAAATTTTATTTATTTTTTATTATAAATGTATAATTATAATTAAATTTGGGATTTCAGATTTCAGCTGTCTGGCAGCTCTAGTTTTTTAAGGACGCCAGTAAAGCATAACCTTGTTGCATACCTTGAGGCGGAACTATAGATAAAGTCTGTTGGCCTATTATAACTTTTTCGACACTACTAAACAAAACGTAAAAATGTAATACAGCATTTTCACAACAGCCCAATCAGAAAATTAATAATACAAATATTTATTACATAAATTTAAGAAATTACAGAGATAATATGTTGAAAATAATATAATAAACTTTAAACTATTTATAATTGAAACAAAAAAGTATTTTAAGTAAATTCGGAGTTAGTATTTTTTGCCAGCTGTTACTTGATTTATACTCTGTTCGGTTTGACATTTCATTATGAACAGACTTGCTCCGGAGCAACGTTTGTGAATCGTGCAAATTTCTTTACCGAAATAAGCTCACTTTCGTTTGAATACGTACGTTATTAAAAAACCTTATCGCATTTGGATTGAAGATAATCCACAAGCCACTGTTGAGATACTGCCAAAGGTCACTGTTTGGCGTACTCTAAGAGTGGAGAACCATAGGATCAATGTTACATTCGATGGGTAACGCTGTGGAGCCATTTTTAAAAAATTTTTGGTGCCTGAATTGGAGGATGTTGATATGGAAGGTTTTTGATCCAACAATACGGCGCTACATGCCATAAAGTCAACGAAATGATCAATTTATTGAAAGATACTTCTAGTGAGTGCATTATCTCCTGTCGTGGGTTTGTGGCGTGACCTCCCAGAAAATGCGATTTAACACCGCTGGCCTATTTTTTGCGAGATTATGTGCAGTCTTTTATCTGCGCTTTGGAAGGGAATATTCGATGAATTATTGCTGACATGCGGATTCAGTTGCTGCAAAAAGTGGTCGAAAATTGGCCCTCGGCTTGTACGAGCCAGTCGTTGCAGTCTCTTCCGCGAAATCAAAACATAATGACAGGCAAGAAACCACTTGCCTAAATATAACACCCTTTACAAACAAATTATTTAAGTATTAATATTAATTATAAACATGAGTAAAGTAAACGTTTTATTTTGGTTTAACAAAATCGAAAAGTATGTAATATTTTATTTCTGTTTATTTTTGAATACTATTGTAAATTTATAATTACTTATTTCTGTGGTTCCTAAGCGGTAGGATAGGAAAGTATTTACAAAATGTTATCAAAACCAAAGTACATACATATATCAATAAAGTTCACCGGTCTTTGCTAAAAAGGCGTTTTTCCACTTGAACTAACTCCAGCCTATCATCTAATGTCATTTAATGGCCACAATATTGATTTGCAATTAAGAAAATGAAATAATTCAATAATTTGGATAAGCATAAAATCAAGACTATTGTGCCGCACATTATTGATAAACGTTGACCAACATAAAAGTATGCACATATGTATGCACGTATGTATGTAAAGTATAATATGCATAATTCGTCTTTTGAAGGGCAAAATTTCAAGAGGATTTGCCTTTGCGATTGATTTCGTTCATTAACATAACCTTATTTTATGCTAACCAATCGACCTTCGCATAAGTTGGAATTTAAAACTTTAATTCGATAATTGTAAGTACCAGTAAGAGTAGATATGTTTATATTCATCAGAGATACTCAACAATCGCAACGATATTATTCCGTTTTTCTAACAAGCAAAAATAACTCAACGAAATTAAATTGTCAACGTTGAAACCGCAGAAAACTCATCGTTAACGTTAAAATGGCTGCTTGTGATGATTTAAGAGCAGATTTCAATTTTGATGTCAAATATTATCTGTTAAAGACTTAATATTAACGACAGCTTTTCGTTTCGGGTAAAAATGAAAACAAGTTTACTTTGATAACGGCTTTAACGATAATTTATCGTTATAATGCAGCCTTGATAATAATACATTAATATGGATGCTTGAGTATGTATGAATTTATCCTTCTTAAAGTCAACATCATAACTACATAAATTGGTACTTAATATACAGTGAATAGTTTTTTTCAAAAATATAGATTTTCTGTATGTGCCAAAGAAAGGATACTTCTAGTCTAGATACACGCCAGTGGCTAGCACAATTTATTATTAATATACTTGGGTACGTAGTTTTATGGTAAAAATATCTATAAAGTAGAACCAACACCTTTAAATGTGTGCGAAAATTATATAAAGATGATCGAATCATCTTCTATCCATCTAACTTTTTACAAATTAATCGTTTGGAGAAATCATCGTTGAAGCAGTTATCAAAACTAATTTTTAAAAAGTTTAAATTTCTGTATACTGGCAATGCCATAAGTTACCATCGGAAAGAATACCACTCGTTTCTTTGAGATATTGCCAGCACCCCATACAATTAACGTTAACAATGAATTCGTACATGCGCCGCTAAGACATAATATCGTTTCGTTTATCGAACATCTCTGATTATAAGATTTCTGACTATGGAAACATTTTTGGTATTTAAAATCATTTTTGAACTACCATTTAATTTTTTCCCCTATTCTGACGGATATACATTTACACTTCGAAAAAATTTTGTGAAACCGAATTCATTATTTCTCTTTTTTGTACTCACAATCAACGAACCAAAACTGTCATGACAAATCATTTCAAATCCAGGTTTGCAATCGTGGTTTGATGTATGAAACAAATGAATTTCATTGTATCCCAAAATCAAACATATATACATACATATGTGTTCATCTAACAATTTTGATATTCTTCTATTCTTTAGAAAGCTTTTGAGTGTTGGGATCAGTTGAGTCCCATAATAGGAAACTAGCTTACTTAATTACACATTCTTCGATAAGTCGTCACACTTATCCGTTTTCTCACTGCTGATATCACTCGACTCACAAGTACACATTTCCTCTTTCGCTACCTCCTCCAATATGTCATCCTCACCCCGTTCTATTACTGTTTCCAACGGCATATCCTCCTTATAACCAGCATAAGCAGTGGCGCGTTGTTTAATAATTTCTTGTATGATGACAGTGAGTATTTCACGGGAGTCTACAATATGGCCAACTTCTTCTGCTACCTCGACAGTCAACCAAGGTGCGATAGTCTTCATCAGATGCTCCTTCTTGGCTGCATCCGTAGCTGGTTCAAGGTTATCCAAAACCTCTGGCAATAATCCTGCAATATGACCCTGTAATAATTTGGCAGCAGTGACGCTCTTTTGCATTTCTTCATCCAATTCTTTTGCAATGGAATCTTGTTGTAAACGGCGCTCCTTCTCGGCTTGCAAGCGTAACTCTTCAGCTTCAAGACGTCGAAGCTCTGCCAACTCGGCTTCTCGTTTCGCGAGAAATCTGCAAATAAATATATATGTATATGTAAATAAATGCAAGTTGCAAGGATATATATTAGTTGTACTCTGCTTGTTTTTGACGAAGTGCAGCAATCTCTTGCTCGTGCGCTACCTCCAACATGCTTTGTTCGATGCAAGAATCCACAAGTATATCGATGATAGGCTGTGCCTCAGCATCGAAGTGGAATAGTTCACCATCGGCTATTTCGGTTGCGACGTCAACACCCACTTTGGCGGGCACATAAGGTGGTTCTGGTGGTTTTTCAAGGAACAAATCTGTTTGTGTATCAACGGAAAATTCTGGGGGACGTTGCAATAGTTCTTCCAAATATTTCTCTGTTTGTATAACTTCGTGTCGACGACCGTTGACAGGTGGCGGTGTCCCAAGAACATTACGCTGATTTCGACAAACCTTTTGCTTTCGTATCGCGTGACGGCGTCGTATTTCGGCTGCTTTATCAAAGGGATCAGAGTTTTCCTGTGTTCAAAATAACAAAAATACAAACAAATTTTCTTCTTCGATTATTTTTAAAACTATTTAAATAATTTTTTTGTATGATTTTGGATTGCGCAGAATTTAAAAAAATTTAAAAATGTTTTTAAAAATTAAAAAGCACTCTGGTCCATTCCTCTTTCTTTGCTTTGCGTTAAGAACATCCAAACGAAGAGGGAACCTCATCCAATGTGTAAAGTTAAGTGTTCAGGTGCAGATCAGATCAACATACTCGTATTAAATGATTTTTTTAATATCAGTAAATATATTTTTTGAAATATAAATAATAATTTCTATTGAAGTTTACTTACAGGAGGTACAGTACCCTTTTGTAGGCATTGGACAGAGGACAGATAGATGGGAGTTTCAATATAAACTATTCTATACGACTCAGCGAACTTCTTTCTCTCTGTTAAGCTCATTTTTTTACTAAGGCAATACTATTAAGTTTTAATGACATTTGCTTTATTCACCATGGGATGTGGTGTATGAGTTGAGCATTTCACTAAAACACATTGTTTGTAATAAACTAATATAAGTACGACTTTGCGTTAAGCAAATCTGAAAAACTAGAATCATAAATTCCGTATATCCCTACTTGCTGGTAGGAGGCAGCTCCCCAATCGGAGGACCGAACTTTTCATGTAAACAGCTTTTTATTTATTTGAACACTGGTTGAATAATGGATGTTTTGCTTCTACCGAATATGTAGGGGCAGCTCTATTAAATATATTTCACTGCCGCGGCCCAAGGCGTTACACAGATACCATACTTGTTTTGCTTAGCAGTTGCCATGCTCGACTTAAACAACTATCAGCCCTGAGGCATTATCAATTTCAAGTTTGACGGCTAGGATGCTATTGGATAAGGTAAACATAACGCCTATTTTGGAATTTATTTAAATTTATGCGAAAACTGGCATTTGAAAGAAAAAATGCCAAACTAAAAATTTTGAAAAAATAACTAAAGCCTTACCAACAGCTGTTGAGCACCGAATACGGATCCGCGAATAACACGGCGATCGTACATGACATTGCGATAGGGTTGTGGTGGAGTGTCCCTGCAAGGAGAAATTTATTTGATGGATATCAATTTTCTGTAATAAATATGTACATATATGCAGGAATGGTGCGCCAAGATAAGTTTAATACAAATTTTTACCGTTACTTAAATATTTGAAAATGATATCGGCTGAAGAAAATTTAAAATACATTTTTTTTTTTCAAAATATAAAATATTGATTTAAGTATCAATAAATAGTTTGTTATTATGTTAAATTAACTTTACGATGGTCTAGTTCATATATGTACCTCAACTCCGCATACCATTACATAAGATTACTCTCGAAACTGTTCTCAAAGTGACCAGCATACGAAGAGAAAATGGTATATAAATTAAAAGAAAATTGTTTTATTCTTGACAAAATGAACATATGATTTGGTCCATTGATTCACTACCAACGATCGTATTTCAGTTCCTTTTCTTTGCTGGCGTAGGCATAGCTTACGCAATTATAGCCGAATCAAGAATTGCCCACAGGGGGTGAGTTCAAAAACGTCAGTTGAAAAGCAACCATGCAATGTCACGCATTCCTATATGCAAATGTTTAAAATTTGACGATGTGTCGTGTTCCAAAATGCATCGGTAAAGTTATTGATGCGCACCCTAAAGCAAACTGCACATCGATAAGGTTTGTGTTGCTTTATTTTGTAAATTCTTAATATCAACGAACGACGTCACAAAACAAGTTTTTTGCATTATTTTTTTTTTTATTATTATATTACTTATTTTTCGATCTGCCTCATATTTTCACAAAAAGCGTTCCAAAATGTCAGAGTTTCCAAAGTGTTGTTGCAAAGCAGATTTATAGAATTCAGGGCGGTTTTGCAAGCGTATCATTACAAAGTATTTTGACGCTTTGGAACTCGCCCAGTATATTCTTTTTGTTGCTTGAAAATCCCGTATATTTCGTACGGCTCATCAATCTGTTACCTACATTATTCGCAGTTGCCAACGTGCAAAGAACCATAAATCTTTCGCCAAACTTTTCTCTCCTATTGCTGATTTATCGGTTATTGTCATTGTCATATGACCGATACGACGATGCCCGATTTGTGGAATTTTGTCTATATACGCAGACAGGAGACTTTACTTCCCCCTGCGGAGTAGGGGTTCAAGAGCTTACCCGCGGTGAGGCATGCCTGTCGTAAGAGGCGACTAAAATCCAATTGTTCCCGCGATAGTCGGCACTGTCACTCCCGCAACATTCCCTAAAAAGTACTTTTACAACAAAAACACTTTACTCTCTAACTGCCTCAACACAAAATTATCAAACGAGACCAAAAGAAATAATCACAATAATTATGAAAGAAAAGGCAAATGTAAATTCAATGATTTAAAATCCTATATAAGAATGAATTCTCTTATGGAATAATTCAATTGTAACAACCCATTCTCTCTTCGCAGTCGGCTTCATAGCTATCTTACATTGAATCTGTTTCATATTTTTCATGCTACCATTTTTTCTTAAAAAAGCTACTATTTTTAAATAAAAGATGTGTGGGGAGTTTTCATATTTTTATTGTTTTTATTGTTTAATCGTTCAAAAAGCACATACTATTATATATTGTATTTTGCAACCCCTCATTATGAACTTCTTCGAGTGTATTCCTTTTATGATTGTGTTTTACAACTGTAAAGAATTTAAATCGAATTCAAGAAGAAGAGCAGTTGACTGGATTTGCAAATCGTTCTCAGAGTTTTGCAAGCAGGCAGAATTTTTTTTTAATAACTGTTGTTTTTTTTCAAACACTTTTGAATTCAATCTTACCGCTAAATATATTTATATTTGGAAATCTAATAAATTAGTTAGTTGATTAGGTTGATCGATCACATAATCCTGACTTCGTTATGAAACCTAAAATATCCCAAGTTGAATATTTTATACAAAAAAGAGAGCTATATATATGTACTCGTATGTATATGTACGAGTACTCAATAGAAGTCCCTGACATACGTTGTTGTAGTATCCCGTATTTTGTTCATACATATATAATACAAATAATTTGTATTGCAAATGACAAGATAGGTAAAAAATGATAAACCGTTCTGTAGAGCTTCAAATACGTCGCTATTGAATAAAATATCCAGTCCCTATTCCTCTTCCAAAAGAAAGCATCCCCTTTAGCAAACACAAAATATTTTATAAAGTCATGGGTCCAACAGTTCAGAGAATATTTGTTTGCTGTTCCTTTAAATAAATTTTTAGAACAAAACCTTAATTAAACGAAAAAAAGTGCAAACACACCATTCGAGCTGAAAAGATGACCTACTGTGAAGCTCAAAAATACAACCAGCCTTCTAAGGAGGAACGTTGATCCAGTCGTTCATTCATAGTTTTGCAATAAGAATGTAATGCTTGTCGCAAGGTTTCCGATGTCGAAGCAGATCCAATAATTAAAGACAATATTTAATAAATGAAAATTTTATTATCGGGACATAGACTTGTCAGAATATTTTATTGCCTGGATTTTATGACGTCTGTTCTATCTTCTGTTGGGATTGCCTGTTCTTTGATATATACAAATTTATTGAAGTTTAAAAGTTTCAAAGTCGGTATTTCGGCTATAATAGTCGGAATTGTAATCTGGAATAAACAAAGCTTGCATCTTTCCAACACAAAATCCTTGCTTTTTATGTAAAATGGAAATAAAGCGAATAAATAATATTTTTTTGAATACAATAATCACTTTCACATACATATGTATATATATGTATGAATTTTAATATTGCTTTACAGATCGTAGTTTACCTTTTCGTACGGCGTTGCTGAATTTGCTCCTGAAACTGTTGTTTGGTAAGATTTACACCACCAGTTAAAGAATACCGTGATGAAGGAGGGGGCGATTGGTCATTCCTCATGCTATTCAATGACGTTCCGTTCGCGCTTGTAGCAATTTTTTTCGGTACATGAGTATTTGCTTTTAAATTTAAGTTTGTATTATTGAACGATTTGGTTCCGAATACCTTATCGCTGGTAGAGATCTTTGTTGATTCTACTGCGTCCTTATTGTGAGCTTTGTCATTGCCGTCGATGGATGCGATGCCACCGCCACTTGTCATTACGACTGGGTGTGAGGAATATGCATATATATGAGGTTTCAAAAACCATGGTATTGGAGGTTCTTTAGGGGGTGGTAGGAATACACCAGTGGGTACCGTGGTAATAAATAGAGGGCGTTTGATAACGTGGTCGTGTTGGCTTACCTAAGAGTGTCATGTACATATTTATAAAACAGATAAAGGGAGTTTATAAAAAATTCTTTCAAAGTCATATGTGCTTACATTTAAAATTCAATAATATTACACACATAAGGCTTATGTAATTAGCTGCAGCAGCTAAAGTTCATTTTAAAAATGAAATATTTTTATGCCGAAAATGTGTTAGTTCCTCAAGAGTTAAGAGATGTGGTAATATTTATGGTTAAAACTCAGATTTATCTGAGCCTAAAATCCAGCCAGCAGGGTAGCTCACGTTTTATGTATATTGTAAAGTAAAATACATACATACCTACATTACATACATTTTTTTAAAAATTGCTTTGGTACACCATTTTGAAGAAAAATACAAAATGTAAGATTTGTAATAGGAAAGCAGAATTTAGACTTTTAGTTTGAAGGGAGATCTGCACAATCGTGTTTAGAAATTTATTCTTAGTCAAATGATCCAATGGCTAGAGTATTAACGCACTTAACTACTATAGTAAAATTTAAATATTGAACTCATATTTTATAAAGAAAATTTTTTAGAAAATTCTTAATACCGTGTTAATATTATTCTCCAATTATCATAAAATACCAAAACTGTGCTTTATTCATTTCTTCATACAATCAAATAATTCTGCATGAAAAAGATACTGTTAACCGGTAAAGTTTGGCAGCGATATGCTAAAATTTACTAATAACAATAAACTTCTTCTGATTTTACGCCTGTGAGGTAGGCAGGTATAGAAAAATATTTATAATCACATTAGAGAAAACCATTGGCCACCATCGATATAAGCCACTTCATGAAAAATCTAGAAGAAATGCCAATTAGATACTGCGATGCTACAATTTTCAGATCCAACAATACGAGTATATTTTATATTGCTGTACGTAAGAAGGCATTCCATAGTTTAGCTAAATCGAAACGTAAGAAAATGAATGATGAAGTTCAGTTGTTACAGAATCGCAGATATGTTAAAACACTTTTTCTAATCTAATTATGCGCCAAAGACATTTATTTACCCTTACTTAGAGCTTTCTTTTGAATGCGTAAAAGTATCTTATATTTCCGCTGATGTTGTTTGTCACCATCTTAATGCCCTTAAGAGCTCATTCACATGCAATCCGTATAATTTCCCTACAAGTGTATTTAAATTTTGTGCTGAATTTCTATACATACCATTAAAGAATATATTCAATGTTTCGTTAAAGCAAAATGTACATCTTTTCTTGTGAAAAGAATCATACATTTTACCTCTACATAAATCTGGTAGTAGATCTTCGGGGCAATTACAGGGGGATTGCAAAGTTATGCTCTATCACCAAAATATTCGAAGCTATATTATAAAAGATCAATTAGCCCCTTCTGTGTCATCAGGTATTGGCATCTCGCAACAATTATTGACAAAGACAAACCTAGCCCATCGAAGCTCCTAAAATTCACCAGCCATGTCAGTAATGGTTTCAAAAATGGTTATCAAACATATGTTATCTGCACTGATTTCAGCAAAGCATTTGACAAGATCTCTCATTACTTACTTCTACTCGATCATTTCGGGCTTCCACCTTCCTTACTTAAGTGGTCTCCATCGTACTTGAGTGGTAGAAAACAAAAAGTAATTTTTAATTGCCATACAACACGTGAAATGGCAGTAACATCTGGTGAGGCAATCTTTGTATTGTAACACGGTCCGAAAAAAATCAACTTTTTTCTGATCCACGAAAAAGTCAAACATTTTCGGAAACTAGGGCTAAAATAATACATGTGCTTGGCCGTTTTGGTAGATCAAGTCGTTTATAGTTTTCAAGGGTGAAAAAAAACGCCTAAATGAAGTCACAAGATCTCTTTTAAAAATTATTAATAATTTATAAAATGGAACCAATATGGCGGTCAAAAACTGAAAAGGTCATTAATTTTTTTATAAAACTTAGTATGAAGGGTTTTTTGGGGTTGCTGATTATGAATTTGATTTCAGATATTGTCCATAAGTTTGGGATAAAGAGTACACATACGTAGCAAAAACAATTACGTTTAGGACAACACATTTTCATTCAAGAGCACTCCCAATTTGTAGTGCAAAGTCAAAGCAAATGACATTTTTTTATTTGTTGATTTTATATTTACTTACTACAAAGCCTTCTTTGTCGTTAAAAAAAAATGCCATTGTACGACGAGCACAACTGGGATTTATCACAATAAATCAAAATAATAATAATAATAATTATGACAAATAATCTGATAATAATCAGCAATCCTGAAACCCTCCGGGTACCTATCTTTATAATTCGTTATTAATTTTGAAATTCTGATATTAGATTCGGAATCAGCGACCCCAAAAACCCCTGTACTCCAATTTCTATAAATAATTAATAATTTTTAAAAGAGGTCGTATCACTTTTCGTTTAGAGGTTGTTTTCGCCGTCTAAAACCATAAAGGGCTTGATCTAGCAAAATGACCGAAAATTTTTGATTTTTTCGTGGGTCAAAAAACGTGTAGGAAGGTGCAACTTCCTGTTAATCAATTCAAATTTTTCGTCTTCACTGTACTAAAAGGGTACGAGTCTATTTCACCAAATTTCCATCGCGAGCAGGAAAAAATGCCTCATGTGCTGTCATGTCTATGTTATCATTTTTAATTATTAAAATATCTTCACTATGGTGTGCCTTAACTTCTCAAAATAAAGCCCTTAAATACCAATCGCGAATCTCTTTCTGCTCTGCTACGAGGCGCGAGTACACGTATGTATATTTGTAACAGCAATTTCATATTCCAAACTTACAATAATGCCGAAACATATCGTAGCCAAATAATGTTGACATTTTACTTTCATGATTGGGAACGAAGAACTAAACATAATCCACAACAACGAAGAATTAATAAGGAGGCTAATGAAATTACGACACCTCATCATACACCAACTGATATATCAATTAGTATTGTGACGTTATTAATTTATAATGTCTACATACACACATACGTTTTGGCATTTTTGCTGGCTGGACTTTGACTTATCCATTTACAAGCATGGAATATATAATATATATATATATGTACATACTAGTAGTAGCAGTGCATTTCATATACAAAATTTTAAAATAAGTGATTACGAAATTTTTGAATTTACATATCGCCATACATTTGAAGAGTGTCTAGAGTTGGTCCAAGACTCTGGACTAGTTGTGTAATTTAAATTATATAGCTTCTGACTTAGTTCGTCCTTTAATTGTTCAATGATTTCTTCATTTGGCCTTACCGAGGACAAATGGGTTATTTTCTTCGATGATGTGGACGAAAAGTTATTCCTCTGGCGATGTTCTTGCGGGGGAGGCCACAAAGTATTTTCATCTGTAACGGCAGCATTATGACGAATGGGTCGCGCCAATTCCGGCTTATCGAAACGACGAATTGGTCGCACAATCGCGTTAGGTTTGCCCCTATCCAAGGCGTTAGCAACCTCTTCGTTATTAAGGATAGTAAAGGCTGCAATGGGCTTGTATGGATATAAGCCTAGGGATTGGGGATTGTCGTATCTGTTATTGAAAGTATTGGTCTCTGGGCGGTAGGTACTAGCAAAGGAAAAATTTTGGGTGCGCACTGTGGAGGTAGGATTATTTTTCAACTCTATTTCCTGAGAAACGGACGAAGTGGTGGAATTTGCATTTATGGTTGCTGTGGTATTAGTATCGCCCTTGGTTGTGGTAGAGTCGAGGAATGTGTGATGATTTTCTGTTATAGGAGATTTTGTAGGGAGGTGCTCAGGACTTGTGACATTTTGCTGCCCGTCGAATTTCATAATTTTTGGCAACACTACCAAATTATTTTCTTAACTATTTAATGACGTTTGAAACATTTTGTACACTCAAAAACAACGCAATTAATTTTTCTCTTTTGTTGTTCGCGAAATTTCAAACACATGCAAATAAAGGTTAAAGGTCACTTAGATGCGCACAGCAAATCAATAAAACGAGTTCTTATTTAGTACAACGTGAATTTCCATTTCAGCGACATTGCATGGAATTGAATGAAGTCAACGTGCGTGCGGTTTTTGTTCAGTATTCGCGTTACCGTTAAAGATATTGACTTTTTATTGTGGCCGTACGCCACGACTCTCGGCGACTAAATGACCAAAACAGAAACTCCACACAGTAACGAGACTCGGTCAGACCGAGTGGGCAGGGTTCGGTAAATGCCGATGGTCAGTTAGGTAGTAGGGGGTGCAAACAGAAGTAAGAGTACGAGTTGAGAGTAGGGTCAAAATACTGCTTACCGCATGCAAGAGCTTGCTGTGTTTTCTTAGTTGGTCAACAGCTGGCTAAGATATATAAATAAAAGTACCTTCTACGAGCATGGGGTGGTAGAGGTCTTTCTTTCGTACATATGTATGTATAAGGATGTAAATGTATATATGTATGTATGCGTGTTATATGTGTGTGCATGGAGACCTAAAAATATGAAGCGATATTAATTAATAACGAATTTTCACTATTATTAAAAATTAATATAACAGTACTTTTGTTATTGCTGAACTATACAACTGTGTGTTTAATAAACGGACCTTCAGTGTTACCAAATTCACCAGCAATTTAAATCAATGAGTTCTGTTCTGCTTCAAGAGAAATACGCTTTTATTTATTTAAACACTAGTGTAAGTATACATGTGCGTACATTTTTACATTTATATGTGCATATTACACGTCTGCAGTTTTAAAAGTTATTATTGGACTGTTATATTCATACATTATTTGCGAAAAGTCAACTTTATAAAAATATGCTAGAAAATTCTTTACGAATAACAAAATATTTCTTATAATTTTCAAACAATGCAAATCATGTGCATATGAGAATGGCTAACTCCGTATCGAATTGAAGCGAACACAAAATATTTAGTTTCAGTTAAATGAAAAAAGCTTTGAATGATTTTGCGCTAAAATCGTTAGAACGGAATGTTTTTTCTCAAGAGTAAACAAGGATTGATCTTGTCCTAAAATTAATTTCACTATTTTGTAATAAACAAAAACAGCTTGTTCTTAAACTGCTTTTTATTTATACTCCAATTTCATGTCGATATTTTTTAAATATTCTTTTATGAAAATAAAAAAATTAATTGAATTATATTTACGTATATACATGTGTGTGATCATAAAGGATGCATCGTAAGGTTAAAATGAAAAAAAAGAATAAAAAATTGCAATCGTTTGGGCGTAAAGGCCGCTGAAAGCATGCTAGAACGAATCAATTCCGATCCTAAATTCGATTGTGATATACAAACCAGTCAAAAATCTTCGGAATGTTTAATACTTTCTACGGTTACCGTGATGTTGTGCACTTAGAATTCTTGCCTGAAGGTCATACCCGACAAGGCTCTTATTGTAAAAGAATTTCTGATAGAAAACTTAAAAAACACCCGAAAATCACCATAATCAGATGCATCAACAAATGACTAGAAGATGGAGAACACGAGTCCCCAATCAATGATGACGGAATAGATATTTCCCGCTACTTATCTGCTAAACCATTCAAATATAGTGCAGAAGAACTGTTTCTCTGTAAAACATTGCCAAATGAAAGCATACTCATTGATTGGAACCTCGCACTCAGCATTTCTTTGCTGTTTTTAATTTACTTTTTCCCACCTTTGCTGCAGTCATTAAAGTAATAAAAATTCAATTTAGATTTAATTTATCATTTTTAAAATATACGTAAATGTAAAGTGCATATATTAAAATTATTTCTCTGTAAAATTTGTTTGTGATTAAGAATTGGCAAAAATTCGCGAAAGTCGTAGCTGAAATTCGGTCGTCCTCTAGCTTTCTCAGAATTTGGCTGAATATCGATCGAAAATTCCATCTAAATATAATATACCCGTACAACAATTCGAATTGGAATAGTCAAAATTAAATGCGTGTGATTATGAAGACTTCTCCGCCTTAACACACGCACTTCCACAAAACAATAATGAAAACGAAGGCTTGTAAATACAATACATAAATGAAGGAAATGAAGGAACAAAATGAAAATCATGAAAAGGTAAAAGGTCTGTTGGATGTAATATTTAAGGAATTATATACTGTATTTACACATGTTCAGGAATAGAAGTTCATGACATTTGCCCTTGAACAAGGTAAAAATATTAAAAAGAAAATGCCCTTCGCAGAAGTTGTTGAGATGAATGTGCGTTGAATAAGTTCGTGGGGCGACATATAATGATATTTGTAGCAGTACGAGTATACGAGTACATACGTACACGCTTAAATGAGAGTTTTGGCATAAAGATTTACGATTACCCAAAAACAGTGGATGACAAAGCACAAATGCACTGCACTAGCCAAATTAATAAAATACTTGAGAGTAGTTCAGATGATTTTAGCACTTGATAGACACGAAAAAAATTAATTTTATCCTTCTTTCACTACTATCTGACTAGTACGCCTTATCAACCGATATATCATACATTACGGGTAATTGTCACATGTCTACTCCCACCCTGTTTGTCCTTTCAGAAGACGTTGACGTTGACTCACGTGGAGCAGAGCTTATTATTTAAGAAAGAGTTAAAGAGTATCATATTCTAGCTTGACGTTGGAAAACCTGTTTAAAAATATTTCAAAATTAAAGGCGTGACAAATTGAACCGTTTTTGCGAATTTTAAAATATCGCTAAAGCTTTCCCGATGATTTCACGTTTTTGCAAATCACATGATCAATATGTTGCGATTGACTAAAGGAGGGAGGCGCTCGGAATATATAATGTATAAAGAAATCTCCAAATTTTGCTGATTTTGACAATAAAGTGGCAAGAATCGCTTTATTATAATATAAATGTGTGAAAACGGTCCTTAGTAATATTGACGTAACTGTGTGTCTCCATTAATTATAATATAGAATATTTGTCGCTTATATTTTTGAATTTTTTTCTATTTCATAGTTTTACAGCTTTGGCGCGAATGTCAAGAATACATTAATTACTTTGATTTGGTAATGAATTCGCAAATGAAAATGTCGAGCACCTTGAAATTCAGGCGATTAATTATTCAAAAGAAGATATATGTATATAGAAATGTAATTTTTTTTCCAAAACTATCAAGTAATAATTAAAATTTCATGCATACAAGCGCTAGTGTGATTACAACTTGTTAAAAGCAATAATAATACTTGTAAGAAATACATTTTACGCAAATATTTTTAGACCAAGATTTCTGATTTTTCGCGCTCAATTTCTATGAATCATTTTCAAAATCCCTTTTTTTGTGTTGTAATCGTTTGTATATCGATTATTAATAATTCAGCTTTCATTTGGTGTCCTGTATTTCGATTTATCCAAAAAATCGGATCGGGAAATTTCTTGGATGTTTTACTTATGTTGTAAATTAAGATAAGGAAAAGTTGGTAGCACATTTTCTTTTTCTTCCAGCGGTTGCTGGATTTCCAGAATACCAAAGGATAAAATGTATGTAAAAGAAAAACACGATAATTATTTCATCTTGGGTTCACAGGATATTCAATTCTTATGCTCAAATTATATAATTTTTTTTTAATAAAATATTAGTATTTACACAAATGCATTTCTAATTGTTTTCTTTTTGATGCTGTTCTTGTTTTCTTTCTCTGCTTCTGTTAGGAAATTCGGGAGCGCCAATATTCGCAATTTGGCCACCTTTGTGTATTCGCTTTGATCTCAAGCATTTAGTTTATGAAGTATAAATACCTAAGAAATGTATTAGGATTTGGTTTTAAATTTTTTCTTGAAACAATGCGTGAACGCATTTTATCTAGCCCGCAATGAGCAAAAAAATATCGTTATAGCCATTGTGGCGTAAACAGCAGCTTTGCTTCACAATGTTATGTGGCTAATTTGGTGGAATCAGTTTTGTAATAAATTTAATTAATTTAAAATCAGCTACATTGCCTAAAAAATAAAAATCTTTTAATTCTCGACTGTGTGCGGGCGATTATTGCAATCCACTAGCTACCACAGTTTCGTTTGACGGCTTTACTTTTTGTACGAATATCTCAATTCGGATATCACTGTAGTACACCATTTTGTTTCCGATTCGGATATTCAAATTCACAACATAAGATTATACTTTACAATTCAAACTTGTTGTAATCAAATAGCTTTTATAAATGTCAAATGAGTTTTGTAAAACTTTCCAGTCCGAATAGAAACTAAACATTCTGCAAAAAATTTATTTTTTCATATCTATTATACTTGATATTTCTTACTATATCTTTATATAATTTTTTTAATATTTTGAGAAGGTGCTTGGCGGAAAATTGCTTCAGCTATTACAAAGGTTAATATTGAAGTCAATATAAAGGGTTTGTTCGATCTGCATAATTTTTACCGCAATACTGCAACCCTGATACTCTGTAGCTGATGCTCAGAAGATAATCTGCTGCAATATTGAAGAATTTCTTTAGCGCATATCTCGTTGAAATGTCGTCAGACGTATGTAGGAATTAATTAAGCAATTTAATTTCAAGGTAGAGAAGAACCTAGCTAGAATTGGTGTTTCCAACTGGCGCCAATATGTAAAAGCAAAGAATGAATGGCGCAATCGTTTAAGCAATGTCTACGCCAGTAAAGAAGAAGATTATCAATATACAATAATTCGAAGTTTTTTTCTTTGCTTTAAAAAAAATCGAACCATTTGATATTTTGAACCCTCGATAATTCGTAATATTTTAAGAGTCTCTTGGGCTTCGAATTAACTATAGTCGATTGTACAGAAAAACTATCGGCAAATTCTAATTCTGCTCATTTATGTATTCGGATTGAAAACATTAGTGCATTTAGATATAATCTTTTCTTGCACAATGAAACAGACATACGATAAAATAAAATAAAAAGTAAGAGTGAAAATTGAAATAAAAATATTAATGATTTTATTGTACATACACGTACATCGTACATACATTACAAAATGAAAAATAGTTAAATATGCTTTGATCGACTAGTTGAGATTTCATTTTCGACAGCGACATCTATTCTGCTTGCTTACAAACAGATAACAGTTGATTTACAATTTTATTTATTTTATTTTACAATAATATATAAAAATAACTTAAAATATACGTGTGTTTTATATTCAT